AGGGGAAGCTGATTGTCAAAATGGAGCACTGGCCGTCAGAGCTGATACAGCAGGGTACTCGTCACATGAACAAATCGTGTTTGTTCAGGTTACATTTGATTTCATGACTCCACTGACTACTGAAAACCTTTCTAATATTCTCCGCATAAGCCCCGAATTCTTCGTTGTAGACAAGCTCTGACAAATTAGGAGGGAGATCCTGTAATTAATGTCTCAGATATTTGAGATATTTTCTGTTTAATTCTCTGGTGATGCAAGTAAGCCCTGAAGGAATGAACCCGTTCATAAATGCAGTGAATATTGGCAGGTACGCTCTTTGTTCACTTAGAAATCCTTGGGGATAAGCTATACTGTGATCAAAGACAGAGAAGATTGATTTTTTTCCATCTAAAACTAAGTGGGTGGTGGGTTCTTGCCAGGGCTTGAGCAGAAATAACAGCTAGCTGCTGCAGGAGGAGGAAGGAGGAAGATCCTTGCCCTGTCCAGCCTCCCCACCTCTGGCCACCTGCGCTCACCACTTACCTCCTGCCTAGCACCAAGCTGGACCAGGAGGCCTAGAAAGCCAAGGGCAAAACCCAGAATGAATCGGACCTTCACAGCTGCCAAGGCATTAGTCAAAGGTGGCACATTGACAGCTACACACCTAAAGTCTGTCAAATTTAGTCCTGATTCATCCTGGGCTTAGTGTGCCATCCTCGGGTGGGCCTACGCTGATTATGGGTCATGTCTTAACAACATTTCTGACTTGTAACGAATTGTCTTAGCAGGGGTCAAAACATTTCTGTGATCATGGCTTAAATGATCCAGTTCTCTTGAATTCTGTGTATAGGATATCTACAGGAATAATCTGTTTGTTTAATCTCTTGACACCTCTGCATAAATTTAAGGTACCACCTTTTTCACACACAGCCAGGGAGGAATATGGTAACTTCTGACTTTTACCCATTCTCTCGCAAGATCTTCATTGTTAATGAAGACTAACACAAAAGCCTTTCTAGGCGAGCCTTTACCAGTCCAAGTAACATGAACTCCCAAGTATTTGGCAAAGCCTGTTTGAACCATGTTCAGTGAAGGCAGGGGATTCTTCATGTAGCACTTCTCCAACTACTCTCTGGCCGGCCTCTGTGGGGTGTTACAGAGAGAGGCATCCCACAGCTCATGAAAGGCTTGTGATGTGGCTTTGAGCCCAGCTATTTTGGGTTGCTGAGTTTAAGAGTTACAGGCATGGTGAGAAAAGGACACCGTTTGCTGAGGAGCGCTCTCTCTTACTTGACACTGAAGTCTATTATGGATTACTCCATACAACTCACCGGCACGTGCTACAACGTCGTAATATATGAGATGAAAACAGTACTGCACTTAAGTTCAATCTTCCTGGGCTCCCATTCAATGTTTACGTATTTAGTATCTCTTCAGAAGTTAAGAACTCTTCTGTGAGTCTTATGTCTAGACTTCCAGAGATGGTTTCTTTTCTATTCATATCTCTCACAGCACTTTTGCTCCTGTACCCTATAATGCCGCTACTTTCCTCCATTAAATTACTAACATATACGCATATTTTTCCAAATAACTTAGCGCTTTTCCTGTTATGTCCTGGAGCATTTACATTAGGAATGATAACGTTATTGTTCCCTGTGGTGCCCTGCTGATCTGCCATACACTTCTGCTTTCTTGAGTGCTGAATACGTCATTCTTTTAACAAACCTTTCCTGATGAGATTTTGAGTATCAGACAGATTTCCTTCACTGCCTGAAAATACATTGAATATGTGTTCTTTGTGGTCACTGGCAATCAAGACAAATATTACTTCACTTTAACCTGATCGCTTATGTTTATGACCTGTGATTCATTTCCTGAATACGATACTATCTTAACACCTCTTCTCAACATACTCTGGTATTACTTATGCAGCACTGACCATGTCTTTCAGGACAGCTTTTCCACTGGCGTTTTGACAGCAAACAGCATTCTTTTGCCTTTAAACTTCCGCATAATTTAGGAGACAATTTTCCCAAGTAACCATTTTAATGGTCTTTTTCCACTCCTATGATGCTTCTGTGCAGCTAATGAACTTCGCTTTAGCAATGTATACTCTTTGATGGTTTTGAGATCCTAACTTTCACTGTTTTCAGAACTGAAAAGATGTTTACTGAGCTCAGGCTCCATTTCAGTGCTTTGGATCTGTTTCATTTCTCAACAGAAGTTCTTCAGCTACAACTAAATCCAGGTTTAGGCTTATGTTTCCTATTATGCAATTACACAAAAAAGACTGGAGAAAGCAAGCCAATACTATTTTAGCATTCTAAAATACTTTTTCTCTGATGCAAAGTTTGTTTTTTGAAGATTTGCTGTTTGATCCAGGAAATGTAACTAAATCTTAGAGAGTCCCTTGAACTGCAGTTTTTGAACTGCTTCAGTTGATTCCTGATACAACTCAGTGATGTGGTTTTCAGCATAATTTGCCTTCGAAATCTCACATGAGGGAATATGATGAGATCATACCTCCAGCCCAGTTGATCCTAGGCTGACAGCTGGGATGGCGGCACTTTCTACAGCTTCTATCTTGGAATAATCTTTCTGTGACTCATTTTCACTTCAGTATTTCAGCTTATTAAAACATTTTGCACGTTTGTAATCATCAGTTGGCCTAGTAATTCTGAAATCTTTCTTACATATTGATGTCAGACTGTGATAAATATGAAGCAGAAGTATTTATTGCTTTTACTTTCAATAGCCCCCAGTGATTCAGTTTTTGGTTTTGTTTTTGTTTGTTTTTTTTTTCCATCTTGCCTCTATTCCCATTTGCTGCAGGTACATTGACAATTTCATCTTAGAATAAATTATAAGCTTTCTTTTTAGTTTAGAACAAACTCTGTCCTCCCCGAATTCCTCCCCAGATGCCCCCTTCCCCTGAACCTGTTCTGTTCCCTTCCTTCTAAGTTAGATACTGGGTTTGGTAGTTCAGATACAGTATACAGGCTTTTTTTTTTTTTTCCTTTTTCATTCTTTTCTGAGCAAACTGATTCACTGTTCCAATTTTACAGATAGGCTGGACCAAATTTCTGCAGGTCCCTCCGCCATCCTTTATAGCTGTTTGATCATCCTCTAATTTTCGACTGTGATGTTAGTCTGCTGGGAGGCACCGGCTGCTCTTCAGCAGCAGCTTTTGAATCTTCACCTCCCCGAGACCTTCTGTCACCACCAGATGGAGTAATTTCGGGTTTATAATTCATTTTCACTAATTACAAAAGTCTCAATTTTCACAGCGATCAAATTCGTCTGTACAAATTAACACTCAGCCAGAGTATAGTGAAAAGATATCATAAGGGCAAATAAAATTTACACACACACATGAAAAGTACTGCCTTGGCAAAGTCTTGGCTCCGGGAATTACTAATATGGGAGCGTTAACAATAATCAATAATGAAGCATAAATTAATAATTAACATAGCCTTACAGAAACAAGAACAAAGGGAATGGTTTATTGAGGATATTCCAGAGAAGAACAGGTTTAAAAGGCGTTAAAATACAGGATGAGATGCTAAGGTCAGTAGTATTTCTAGTGACGCCAGGAGGCCCATTGGGTTTGGTTGTGGTGATGATGGGGCAGGACCATGGAGCAACGTGGCTTCTCCTCTCCTGCGTCACTTGGGGAGCATGTGTGGCACTGATGGGAACGCCTGGCTTCTTCCCCCATAAATCTGCTCCTGCACCGTGCTGTGCAACACAGGTGCGGACCCTGCAAAGACTGGTTACCTTTCCGCGTGGTGAGAACGGCTGTTGGAGCCAGACGCGCCAGTTCCTGGTAACCGTGAGATCAGTCCTGCCAGGCTCCGCAGGGAGGGCAAGCGGAAACTCGTTAGTAAACCTGCAGAGGACTGAAATTGTAGACCATGAATCTAGAGATCTCTGCCCTGAGGAACACAGGCTGAGGAACGGGGTTCACAAATACTCAAATGCAGCGGCAACTGCTTGAGTTAGGGCCTTGGAGGTGTGCATTTGGTTCTCGGAACAGGATTCAGGTAACACAAAGACAGCCAGTATGGGAAAGGGGCACGTTAAGACCTCAGTGATGGAGGACACCGCTGCCTGCCGGGCTGTTCAGCCCTGGGAGAAGCAGGGCGCGCGGGCAGGGCGTGTTCCACGGCCGGCCGAAAGCAGCTGCGCCGGGCAGCCTGGTCACGTAAGGGAGGACGCAAAACCAACGCACAGAACACCCGAGATGGAAGGGCAGTAAAAGGAGGCAAGAACTGCCGCGCGGGTGGAGGTGACAGGCAGCCCCGCGGAGAAGAAAAAAGCCTC